GTTTTTTAAAATCCGATGTGTGGATCACATAATATTTCAAAAATTTTAACTTTTGAGTATAGATGATCCGCACTGTAATTATAATACTAATACTAATTATAATACTAATACTAATTACTAAAATCCGAAATAGAATAGGAATATTTCAGAAATCAAAAGTGGTTTCATTAATAAACATATTAGAAGTATAGTCCTGAAGAAGATGTTATTTATTTTATTAGTTAATATCTGGAAGTATTTTAATTAAAGCTCCTCGCGAGTCAGCTCACGCGAAGTTTTAAATATAATTGAAATCAAAATGTGGAGTGACGTCTTCTACATTATATAGGTAATTATATTAACCTTCATAAGATTCTTTATCATAATAACAATAGACGATTGGTATATTTGTTTGCATAATTATTATTAATGTTAAATAGAAAAGGCAACGTAACTATTGAATATGAGAAAACTGTTATTAGACAATTTGGAAACACCAAAAACAATTCAATATGTAACATTTGTTTATTGGTATTGAAAATTACTTCAGGCTCAATATTTCCTTGCATGCAAAGGCTCATCCTGATGATATGATAATGCAATTGAATTCAATTATTATTTAATTAAAATGAAGATTGTCTCACGAATTCTTTACATATCATAGATGACTTAATAGTGCATTATTAAATTATAAGATATATGTTTTTATGCATCTAATACGGACATTTTCTGGTAGGCTTATCCTGTCATGGTGGAATAGAATAACCCTATATTAATATTAATATTAATATGAGACAAATTCTGACGGAAAATTCGCTAAATTCACTGTGATTATCATCAGTTAAATTCCTTCCAGAATCTTGAAAGATGGAAAAGAGTTCCAGAAGCATTTCGAATATTAATTGAACTGAACACAAAGGGAAATACTGCCAACCAAAATCGAAAACATTATATGCCATCGATGCTTTTCATATCGGGTCAATTTCAACACACTTTTTCAAATGACAGTATCGAGCAATCACCCGATTAAAGCACATGGTTTTGAAAAAGTTATGAATATTGGAACAAGCCGTGACCTTTACGAATTCTACTTTGTTGTTCCATCTGTGATTTCGCCAAACAAAAGTATGTTAATCTAGATGATATAAATAGGAAGAAACTAGGGCGTCTTTCCCAGATAACTCGGTACGTTTTGGAAATGCCGTCGTACTTGCAATGCATAATGTAAAAAGCATTTGCTAAAGGGACAAAAAATTTGTAATAATAAAATTGAAACAAATAAAATTTTCGCACAAACTGAGTTTTTTGATATTTTTAACTATGTGCATGAGTGACTTGTGTACTGGACATTACGGAATGTCAGCGATTAACTTCAATAAATATCTTGACCAAGTCTATGAAAAGTAAAGTGGTTGTACGATTGAGAATTACAATTATAAATTTCAAGTTGAAAAGTTCTAATTATATAAAGGATCAAAACGTGTGTTTGAAGAGGCATTGAGAGTACTGAAATTATGACCGAGAATTTATTGAAATATTGAGTGAATTGACGAATCAAAGTCATCAAAGTTGTAAATATTTATTTAATTGTCCTTCCGAAGCATTAGACGAATTGGTTAATGTGTATGTCTAACTGGTGGTGCTTATGGTATTCGATTAACTGGTAAGATAATTATAAGAATAATAATTTGATAATTTATTTTTTTCGTGATAAATAAGATCAGATAGAATATTTTATTCAGGAAATTATTACAAGAAAATTTCCAATATCACAGAAAAGAAATAGAAGCCTCAATATTTGCTACCAGGCCTGGAGGTGGATAATTTGATCCGAGTATAATTTCAAATTATACGTTATACATTATTTTTATTTTTATAAATATATAAATTTATTATTATTTATTATAATTATTATTTTCTAATGGGCTGTTCCTCAGTTCTTCGAGAGTAGGCTACAGACGAAACGTATCCTTTTATTAATTTCTTGGTGTAGTTTTTTATAAAGTGAAAATAAAGTTCAATTCAATTAAGCCAAAAGTAGTAGTAGGTTGTTTCTAAAGTCGATTCATACTAAATATATATAAAAAAAGGACAATATCTTGTAAACAGTTTGATAGGAACATAATATACTAAAGAGCTTGGTGTAGTTGAATGTAGATAATTAAAAATTGAAAAAAAATCATTAGGATTGAAATTAACAATCAAATTTATTTGATCAAATAGCCATTAATTATTAGCAATTAACGAATGCTAATGGCTAATAGAAATTAGCCAATAGTAAATAATAGTAATAGAATAAAAATGTTTCTAATAAATTTCCTAATCTTCAACAACTGTAAACAAAGAGAGGTTTTCAATGATTTACTCGTACCTTAATTATTTAATTGTCATCTATATTAGGTAAATTTGAAATAATGTCACAAATAGATTTCCAATCTGCTAAATCCACATTATCGGTAGCATTAACACAAGCAATAAGGTCTTCATCAATGTTACTTGCATCGAATGGGAATGTATCGATTGATCCTATTAATGATTCAATGTTATTCTCAATTGATGACAAGTCATTAACTTCATTTTGAGACATGTATGTATGTGTTTGTTGTGGTTCTGCTACTAATTGGAATGGATCTATCGGCCCTACTAATGATTCAATTGGCAATATATTGTCAATATCATTCTGAGATACGTGTGGTTGAGTTTGTTGTGATTCTGTTACTATTATTGTTTTGTTATTTTCAGGTGATTTTTTTTCAGATGGTTCCTTTTCAGCTTTTATAGCTTGTTTTTTATATGTAGACATCTTTTCATGTCGATAGATACCATTTACAAAACAGTCTCGAAATTCTGGTAGTATAGTCCAATAACCGCCTTTTCTACCATTTCTGACATTTGATTCTTTTACAAATACACTATGCAATGAAAGATTATGTCTAATTGAATTCTATTATTTTTTTAAATAAAATAGTTGTAAAATTTATTATTTATTCTTGGCCAATATATATATACACGTAATACATCATTAGTTTCATGATTAAATTACCATCCAGCCTTTATGATCCTTCTTATAGTATGGGTATCGATACGTTATCCATGTATAAATTTCACCTAATGTCATTTTTTTACTTGAACAAGATAAGATAGCTTGACCTATCAATGATGCGTATGTAAATGGCGGTTTAATGGTTGGATCAGATGATGAATTGTTAAAATCTAAATCTGAAAAGTTTCTCTTTTAAAAATATTGTTTGATAAAAAATTTTTTCCTGTTAATTAAATTTAATTCTAAAAATGAATAATATCAATTAATATTAAAAGTAAATACCTTATTATTGTGATTTAAAATGTCATGACTATTATTATTCAGTTCATCACAAACATTCCGATTTTGAAAAAAATCATTACCAAATGGTGTCTTTGTTTCTTTAACATTTTGTTTTTCTTGTGAATTGTTATTATATATACTAATATTGGTCTAAATAAAAAGGCAGAAAATTATAAAAAATCAATATCTAATATATAGTTAACATTGAGTAATCAGATAGTCACCTCAATAGGGAAATGAATATCTTCCAATATTATTGTCCCTTTTGAAGTGATATTTAATATTTTGTTAGGAATAGTTGCACAATTTTCCGTATTCTTTAATAAAATAAATAAAAAATTTTATTTTTATGTTTCAAAGATAACAATATCATTAGTAGATTATAAAACTACTACTTACATTGTTAGAAAGTTTACCAAGATTGACAATGTCAATAAGATTAAGATTAGAAATGCTACTGTTATTTATCAAAAATCTACCAGTTATTGTTTCATTTGATACTGAAGGAACTGAAGAAGGATTATAATACTGTTGAGCTTGGATTCTCGAAATGTTTTCCAGTTGAGCGTTAATTTTTTGGTGAATATTATTATTTACATTATTATTTTTATTAATCAAGAAGGGAAAGTTCTCCTTATCTAACATTGTTTAAATTAAAAATTTTTTGAGGATTATTACTGTATTAAAAAACCAATAAATTCTTTGAGATTATAAAGAAATCTTTATTTTTTTGGGGGGTATTAATAAAACAAAAAATCTTTTTAAAAAAAATTTACATTATTTCATTCAAAATTTGACGCGTTTTATTACATAGTTAACTGCGCCTGTTCCTAAAATCTTGTACATAACTTTAAAAAAACCAATTCAATTATTATTTTTCTATTATCATAAAATAAAAAGTCAAATATAACAAAAAAATTAAATGACATTTATGTATATATAAAATAAATTATAAATAGTTCATAATAAATAGAATAAATAGAATACTTTATTTTATGCATTAGCCAATTGATTAAAAGTAGTAAACGCGTCCTATATTTTTTTTAAAAGAAAATCAATCAATAAAATAATGATGAGAATTTTCATGTAATGAATATGCCTTGTTTTACCTCACGTGTACAATCTACAAAATTTGTTTCTATTGGAGGTAATAATACGGTAGAATGAAGCTGTTTTGAATGAAAAGCTGCCAATTTACCAATACCGCCTTGTGATATTACCTATTATTAAAAAATTCATGCTTAATCATCACTTTATCGATATAACTAAATAAACATACAAGCATACATACTCGAAAATCTGTTTTGCCTAGGATCCAATTTTCAATTATGGCATTATTTACATCATCTGGGTGATCATAGTTACTATGCCCAGTATTAATTGGTAATCCAGAAATTATAACATTTTCAAGTTTTGTATAGGATTCTCTTAATTTATTAGAATCTGTGACAAGATAATAAATACCTTTTTGATCTGGTGCTGCATAAGTTTCTCTAAGTTGTTCAGCACATCTAAAGAAATGACTATAATCTTGTAATAAATGATCTTGCTCAAAAGTGTTTCCAGTTCGAATATGAATGCCAACAGAAAAAATAGAAGGAAGTGCAAATAAAGCTGAATATTCAGTGATAAATGATAATGCTGGTGCAACTGGTCTAAATAAATAATCTAAAACACAACTAAATGCTGTGTGCGGTCTTAATCCGATTTCTTTTAATTTAGTAGAGTAATATTTAGAATTAAAGGTTTTCTGTATTATCAGTCCTTGATTTGTGTAAAGTTTTATGAATGAATCAGGATATCTTGTTGTCCAATTTGTAGACAGGAAATGATAATCTAAATTTTCAGGATCATAATCAATAATATTTAATTCACTTGTTTGAAGATTTTTAATAGAATCATCAGGATCAAGAGAATCATAACTCCAGTCAATGTTTGGTGAATTAAAAATTGTATCAAGTGGAAAAGGAACTTGCCAATCTGCTAAAAATGCTCTATCTGTTAGTAATGCAAATAAAAATGTGGATGTCATGCCAAGAATACTATAGATTAGAACAAAAATAATTTTAATAATTTTTTTTTAAAGAAAAAACTTTACTTTATTATTAAAAATAATTAAGTTTCTTACCGTTCTGTCAATCCACCACAATTTACTTTGGAGTCACATACATAACTTACATATCTTTGGGATTCAACACCATTCAGAATATCTTCGTGTAATTTTATATATGTTTTCTGCCATGACCCACAAGAATGGTCTAAACTATCATCAGTATTTTGTTGAGCTATTTTTAGAGCAGAAAATTCATCAAGATCTTCAGTTGAAAGCGATTGAATAACATCAATATGAGTGAAATGAGGTTTTGCAGCAATGTATGTATAATTAGAGTAATCAACTATGATTTTGCTATCTGTTATATTATAGATGTTTTCATTGACTTCGTATTTGGTTTTCTTTTTTTTCCTAAGTTTATTAAATACTCCAAGTTGTTCCGAATTTAACGAATTGTCTGATAATTCAGGATTTTCGTTAATATTAATAGTAGTAGGTATAACGACAATGCTTTCAGTGATGGGTAATGGTAATTGTTCAGTGACTGTGACTGTGACTTCCTCATCATACTCTGATTCACTGCTATGTGAATCTCTATTATTATAAAGGAGTAATTCATTGTCAACAGGTCCTATGCCACCCAGACTAGCTAAAAATACGACAACTGCCCATAAAAACACAATTAAAAACACAATTTTTTTAAAATCGAAGTTATCAGGTGTTGAAATATATGGTTGAGGTTCAAAGGATTTTGTTGAATGTTTTTGTTTCGATGGTGTTGGTGGCGGTGACAAAATTGTTCCAGGTTTCTCATTATTAATAGGAAAAAGATTTGGTGATTCAAAAATTGACGGCATGTTCTGTTGAGAAATATATGGTCTTGTGCCAATATTGTTAATATTATTGATAATATTATTATCGACAAGTTGGTTAGGTGTTACTAAAAGATTTTCTGATGAATCATTACTACTGCCAACACCACCAACACTCAAACTCATATTACGGCGATGTGCCTTTTGTCCTGTAGGAGCCATTTTTTTTTTTTTTTTTTGGTGATTATTATTAATACTTGATAATATTAATAATTTTTATAAACAAATTTCAAATTTTTTGTTAGATGTTACAATGAAATGTGACACCATTGTTAAATTTTTTTTTTTGACAAGAACAACAGACAAGTAAAAAATTCACCCTACTTCATGAACTAAAAAGAATTCAAAAATGAATGGAAATTCAAACATTTAGACATATTAGGAACTTCCGTAAATACTATCATCAATGGCTTTGTGTTAAAGATGTTAATAATCTGGACTAACTGTCTTTTTTATTATGATTACATTATCACATTAAAAAAAAATCTTTTATTGATCAATAGATAATTTTTTTCCGCGTATTAAATATTCAAATAAATCCTTGGAAAACTGATTGAAATTAAATTCTAGTAGAATTTTGAGGTTTTAGCTGGGTTTCATTATGAAGATGATGTCTCAACATTTTTAAACATTATGCAAAGATGAATGTATATAGAACAAAAACATTACTTTTACCATCAAGAGAAAGGAGAAGAAAATGAATATTATGATAGTGATGAAGATGAAGATATCAAATAATAATAATGGAGGACTTTATTTTGATTAACATTAAATGCTGTTGAACTTTTTTATTTATAGAATTCTGCAAAACCTTCAAAACTTTGTTACATCAACAAATTCTAACGCAAGCTTTTAATCAAGTTACAACAACAGCGACCATAACAATAGTGTCTTCAACAACATCAGCACCTTTTTCATAAACGACTATTCCTTCGTATGATATATATGAAACTAGATACCATATCATTTGTGTAAAGTGTCAATTAATTAATTAATTTTACTTGATAAAATTTTTTTGATAGAGACCATTATAATTATACACATTCAATTTCAATTAAATACCTTCATAATACCAATGTTTGTTTTAAGAATATCATGATAATTGTCCTTAATAAAATATTTACTGGATCCTTACGTAATAGAGCTATATAGTAGAAAAGAATAAGAAGATAGCATTCAAAAATAATTCATTAAATTTTTATTTGTTTTATTATTAATTCTGATGATTATGACTTGACTTCCCTTACACGATATACCAATAGAAAAGAACCAATTTTGAGTTAATAATACAACTATTCGCTTAGAATATTTTTCTTTAGTTCGAAATTCTTTGAAATTTCAAAAAATCAATATTAAATTATGGATGGTCCTTTTCTATTGAAAAGCCTCCATGTTCAAAACCGAACAATTGGAGAATAAAATTCGCGATTTTTGAAATTCTGCCCCTCTCGGAAGAAAATGATGTTAAACAGGTTTCTAGATTGAACGACCTTAATAAGAATGTTCTTATAACACTGCCCTCGAAGCCAGAATATTTTTCATTAGTCCTGCCTGGTAACGTCATATATTGATTGGCTATATGTGAATTTTTTTGTGATCTGCATACCACGTACAGAATTTCCGAAATTTACGTAAGAACATAGTAAACATATTAATATTTATTATAATTAACATTGTTTTCAAACCATTCCTCCTCTTCCGTTTTCAAATATATAGGTGCCAAATTTGCATGAAAGATAGTATATACGTTATATTTTAGAGCTATGGAAAGATAGCATCCCCTTTTTACATATGTGTAACATTTTTTTATATTGACGCTCAATTGTTTTAAAGTAGGGGGTGCTATCTTTCCAGACTTTACAGTAATTAAACATGACAACTAATCAAGAAACTTCTCAATATTTTTATGATTTATTTGAACTTGGTTTAGAAGAATATGATTGTTATGAAAATATTCAAGAAACTATTCATAATTTAAAAAATTTTTTTGAAAATCCAACGAGTTGTGTTTGCCGTGTTTTGAAAAAACAAAAAGACATTAGAACTTGTTTTGAAAAAATTGGATTTAAAAAATTTTTTCAAAGACATTTTCAAATTATTAATTTAACTAACAAAGAATTGGATTTATTTTTGAAAGCACAACTTTTGGCAATGGAAATAGAAAATAAAAATTTTAAAGAGTCTTCTGAAAAAATTCCTCAAAGAATAAATTATCAATTTTGTTTTAATTCAACATATTCTCTTTGCAAACCAATATTTTTAATGTTATACAATATAAGTGATCATAAATTTGAAAATATTGTAAAACATTTACACAATGAAGGAATAAGTGAATGAATTCATGGAAACACAGGAAGAGCTCCTATATATAAAACTAAAGTCAATATTGATGAAAATTTAAAATTCATTGTAAGAAATTTTCTAAACCAATATTCTTTAATACATGGGTTACCTTCACCAACGAGACATAGAAATGATTCTGGAGCATTTATTTATCTTCCACTGATAAAAGATTTATATCTGTGTATAAAGAATTTAAAGAATTTTATTTAGAAAATATTTTGAAAGTTGAATCTGAAAATGATTTAAAAGAGGAAAAAATTATTTCTTACAATTCTTTTAGAAGATTATGGAATGAACTAATGTCTAATTTAAAATTTCAGCCTCTTGCAAGTGATTTGTGTGATAATTGTGTTCAATTTAAATCAAAATTGCAATTAGCAAAAAGAAATATTGATGAATATAATAATGTTGAAGCTGAATTTAATGAACATAAAAAAATGGCAAACCTTGAATGTGATCATTATAATAATAATATTGAATTAAGTAAAAATGATTTATCAATTGCACATATTTGTTATGATTGGGCACAAAATGTCACCATTCCTTATTCACCTCAACAAGCAGGACCATTATATTTTTTATCAGGTTATGCTGTTCATTTATTTGGAGTTTGTAAAACTGAAGGAGGAATAAATAAACAATTGAATTTTTTAATAGGAGAAGATGAGCTTCCTCAAGGCACATCTAAAGGAGCAAATACTACTTTGAATTTAGTTTATCAAGCTCTGCAAATATTTGCAAAGAATGGTAAAAAAAAATTGCATATAACTTGTGATAATTGCTCTGGACAAAATAAAAATAACTTATCTCTTTGGTTTTGGACTTGGATAATAATGCTGGGTTGGTATGAAAAAATTACAGTTAGCTTTATGATTCCAGGACATACAAAATTTATATATGATTCTTTTTTTGGTCATATAAAAAAATTATATAGAAAAAGTAAGATTAATCAGATTAATGATATTGAAGAGATTGTTAAAGATTCTTCAGAAGGAAATGAATCAATACAATATAAAGATGGTTTAGGGTGGAAATGGTACAATTTTGGAGAATTATTTGAAAAAATTTAAAACTTTACCTAATATAAAGCAATATCATCATTTTAGATTTAACAACCTGCCTGAAAACAAAGGAAAAGTTTTTGTTTCAATGAAATCTGGTGAAGAAGAGTCTTTTAATCTTTTAAAAAATAATAACTTTAATCATAATGATCCCATTAATATCATTCCAATTAATATAGATTTAGAAAAAAAATTATATTTATATAAAAAAATTAGAAAATTTGTAGAGGAACCTCATAAAGATGTTCATTTTTCAAATCCTAATTCAAATGAAATGGAAATTTAAAAAAAAAATTTTGTAAGATTATCATTTCCTTTTTTGTCATTATAAATTTTTTGGGGCCAAAATTCAATAAATCTTTGTGAGCTAATTGTACACTTTTCTATTAATTGAATGTTGACAAAAATTATACCAAATTATAATCATCACTTCAAAGAATATAATGGTGTCAATAACTCATTTTGGGGTTTTTGAGCCCGAAGCACCTTTTTGCTAGGATGGAACCCATATAGTTTAAGAGTTATTTTGAGTTTTGTAATTTTGCGAAATTTGCCAATTTGTATAATAAATTTAAAAATTTTTTTTGTGGCACCAAAAAATAATAACAGTCACCCATGATGTCACACGATCAATATAGTGACTGCAATAACTATGTAAGATTTATGTGTAACATTTCGATTTTTACTATTAAAATTCAACATAAAAAATTTCCTTCACAGGTGTAACTACTGTTTCTTTTTTAGTAAGATCCACAATCTTTTGCACAGACATTCTTTGAGACATTATTTATTTCCCTGCAAAATTTGAACCATTGCTTTATAAGAGAATGGAAAAGGATGGT